AACGATGAATCGTCTTATAGAGCCGAGATCCAAAACGTGGTTCAGTGGAGTAAGGCTAACAACCTCCAGCTGAACGCATCCAAAACATGTGAACTGGTCTTTGATTTCAGTCGCAATAGTTCTCATTTGCCTGTCGCAATCGATAACTCCCAGGTGCAGATTGTAGAGGAGTGTAAGTTTCTGGGTCTAACTCTGTCTAATGACCTGAAATGGGTTAAAAACACTGACCGGGTCGTAAAGAAAGCTCGTCAGCGTCTCTACTTCCTGCGGAAACTTAGAGAATTTACCACTAACTCTAAGATTCTGCTGAACTTTTATCGCTGCACCATTGAGAGTTTACTTGTTGGTTCTGTGTCTGTGTGGTTCGGTAACATCACAGATAAAGAAAAGAGAGCTCTAAACAAGGTGCTCCGCTCTGCAAAGAGGACTGTAGGCTGTGAACTTCCTGTCCTGGAGGCTCTTTATCAATCCAGACTTTTTAACAGTGCCCTGAGAATTATCAATGACTCTTCTGGCCACCCAGGAAAAGCCTTGTTCCAGCTTCTTCCCTCTGGCAGAAGATACTGTTCTCTGAGATGCAGGACATCTCGTTATGCTAATAGTTTTTTTCCACGAGCTGTTAACAGTTTGAATAGAGCACTTTAATGTTTTTTGCACTCGTATAGATCTGTTTTAAGTTGGTCAACTTCACGGTGACATTTGTTTACTGTTTTTAAAATTTGTTTTATTTTTGTCTTTTAATGTTGTTTTGTGTCTGTACTTGTCCTGTGCACACTGGGAACTTTTACAAATGTATTCCAATGTAGTGTTACTGCAAATGGCGAAATAAATGAATCTGAATCTGAATCTGATCTGAGTGGTTAGCAGTCTCACTAGTAAGAAGGCCCTGGGTTCGAATCCCGGAACAGAGCCTTTGTGTGTGGAGTTTGCATATTCCCCCCGTGTCTTTAGCAACAATATGTCTGAATGTAATGAGTGAATGGATGGTGTTTGGTCAGAGGCTTTGATGGTCCTGTGTGTTCGGCGTCTCGCTTCCGTCATCGCCTTGTGTGAATAGAAAAATGTGCTTTGGGTGACCTTGGTCTGTAAAATGCGCTATATGAAAAAACTTTACTTACTCCATCAAAGCTTCCAACTAACACCATCCATTCACTCGGTACATTCAGACCTATTGTGCATGATTTTAGTGATAGGGAAACCCGAGCACCCAGAGGAGACCTTCGCAAACACGGGGAGAACAAGCAAACTCCACTCAGAAAGGCCCTGTTCCGACCGGGATTCGAACCCAGTACCTTCTTGCATAGAGGAGAAAGTGTGAACTACTCAGCCATTCATCACACACACATGCAACAGGTTAAAGCACTAACCCTTGACTCGGACCGTGACGAGCCCGTGGGCGTCCTCCAGTCCCTGCTGCACCTCACAGCGGTACAGTCCAGAGTCCCCGTGTCTCAGTCGCTCCAGCCTCAGGGTCAGGTCTGCGGGAGACGAGGCGTAGTTCTGCAGAGACGCACGCTCCCGGTACACCTCGCTCACCTTCAACATCCATCAAAATGTGTTTAAGACGAGATAACAGAAGATAAACTTTATTGATCTCACAACAGAGACATTCTACGGCACAGTTCCTACAGAACGCCACTCACAGTGCTTCACATCGACGTCGTTTTCAACCTAAAGGTAAAGGTGCACTGTAATAATCCCTGTAGGGCAATTCATCCTCTGCATTTGACCCATCATGATGCCAAGGCTCACGGCAGGAGCAGTGGTCGCCGTAGTAACAGCGTCCGGGAACTCATCTCCAGATGTTGATGCTCGGCTTGGTCAGGACCAGAGCTGGAGGATTTTCTACCTAGTGTGCATGTTTTTAGTGGTAGGGGAAACCGGATCACTCGGAGGAAACCTATGTAGGCACGGGGAGAACATGCAAACTCCACTCAGAAAGACACTGTTCCGACCGGGGTTCGAGCCCAGGACCTTCTTGCTGAGAAGCGAGAGTGGTATCCGCTAAGCCATCGTACCTAGACTTGAATAAAGCCAGGGAAGCGTTCTCACTCTGTGGTGAATACGCAAGTGGCCGAACACAAGAGAAAATATACAAGAAATCCGGTCTTTTGTTAGTCACTGGGACTCCGATTGTGTATCTGCTATGATTGTGTATCCGTGGTATGTTCTGATTGTCTCTTGATGTGAGACGTCTGTCTTTTGATGTGTGACGTCTGTGTGACGTAAAATTGACTACAGAGCTTGTCCTAACTCTATTCTGTCTGAAAAAAAATGAAATAAACTTCCAGGTTGCTCCCGTCTGTGTGAAACTGATTTTCCACAACTCCCTCAGGAAGAATGTTCCAGATTTTAGGTGCTTTCGTCTGGAACGCTGCCTCCCCATGTTTAGTCCTGACTCTGGGCACCAGCGAGAGGCCAGTCCCTGTGCTCCTCAGAGTACGAGTTGGTTCATGTGGCACTAACATGTCACAGATTTAAGCAATCTTTATTTATATAGCGCATTTTTACAGACCAAGGTTTGGTTCATTCAATTTCTTTGGTTCGAGGCCGTGGAGAGACAAACAGAGCTGCTTAAATGCTATTCTCTGAGCCACAGGTGCAGAGACCTGGGACCAGGACTAACGTGATGGTACTTCCTGGTTCTAGTCCGGACTCGAGCTGCAGTGTTTACCTTCACCCGGTCCCCGCTGGCCACCAGGATCTCTGTCTCTACTCCCTCCCGCAGCATCGTCCACTTGACCCGGGGCATCGTCAGCATGGCCAGGCGCCCGTTGGACGAGAAGGGGGGAGGCGGGTGAGTGAGGGACACCAGGCAGGGCAGGGTGAGGGAGCCCCCCAGCACGGCCAGCACCGGAGGCTCTATGGGGATGGTCACCTGGAGGAGACCCGAGGCATCTGCAGAGGACGAGAGACAGATGTTTAGGGACAACCATAGACTATATCTTTCTATCTCTCTATCTATGTATCTACCTATCTCTCTATTTATGTATTTATCTATTTATCGACCAATGTGTATCTATCCATCTATCCCCAGCACATTCATCAGGGCTCAGGCATCTGCAGAGGACGAGAGACATGGATGTGAATGTGTTTAGGGCCAATCATAGATGGACAATGCTAGCCTGTGAGCGCAATAAGATAAGATATAAGATAACATTTACAAACAATTAAGCTAAATAGGGAAGTGCTCATGGACAAAGTTTTGCTCCAACTGAAAATAGTAAACTCCTCTGGCTCACCCTGTCAGAATATGTGACGTCAGCCAACTCTGCACCAACGATATTTAAATGTGAATCCTAATTGTTAGGTGTGTGTATGTGTGTGTGTGTGTATGTGTGGGTGTGTGTGTGTGTGTTACCGGACTCATGATGGGCGGTGGTGGTCACAGGCAGGAGCAGCAGACACACTGTACACCAGAGCATGGACTCAGACGCTCCCAGCCTGAATAGAACACAGACTATTTCAACTCATGTTAGACTCTGAGGAGCACAGGGACTGGCCTCCTGCTGGGACTCTGAGGAGCACAGGGACTGGCCTCCTGCTGGGACTCTGAGGAGCACAGGGACTGGCCTCCTCCTGCTGGGAGGAGGCCCAGTCCCTGTGCTCCTGCTGGTCCCAGAGTCAGGACTAAACATGGGGAAGCAACGTTTCTGATTTATGCAGCTAAGATCTCAAATCCAGGTTAAAAACTGTTGCTGCAATAACTGAAGGATTGTATCTTTACACTTTTAAACATACTGTAATTATTTATGAGTTTAAAGCCATTTGACTGACTCTTTCTTGTGCCTTGTGTATGAACTTTACAAAAATAAACTTTCCTTGTGACTGTATTAAATTATGTAAACTCTGTATTTATTGACTGCTTATTACACAATCTTCCCAAAGCCTCTTCTTCCTTTAGATCCAATATTTTGTGGTATTTTCTTGTGGGAATTGTGTCTGATCTGTTTTTTTGTTTTTTTAGAAGAAGAAGAAATCAGAATTCTGCTCACTCCTCTCTGGTCCTGAAGTGGGACCCAACGACACGACAAAGACACGACAAAGACACGACAACGACAACAACTCTGTTCCATCTGCTCCTCTCTCCACAGAAGTCACAGCTCATGCCGCCAGACCAACACACAATCATTCTGCTCCTCTGACAGAAATGCGAGTCTGTGTCTTGTCCATGGATCTAAAATAATAACTGGATAGAGTATTACTAGCTTGTGGCTGTCCCACCCATGGGCACAGGGGGCGCCGTGGTACTGCAGACTAAATTCCCGCGGGCTACGCAGTAAAGTCCCATAGAACTCAATGTAAACTAAAACAGCTCGAACTCAGCTGACAGAGAACCTGACAGAGAACCTGACAGAGAACCTACAGCTTTCATAAAGGTCGGAATTTGTGGGGATTTTAGTGTCCCTTGTCATCCTGAACTTTTTTCCTTCTTAAATCCTTCGGTTTTCTTTAAATCCACACTTTACTGCCACAAACTCTGCTCGTTTCCTTCCCGCTCTGCCACTGCTCTGTTCAGCAGCTCTGATTGGTCAAAGCGCGGCCGAGCCCCTCTGTGCACGTGCATGAGAGCCACACACACCTGGATCTACAGCCTCAGTCCTGGATCTGCAGCCTCAGTCCTGGATCTACAGCCTCAGGCCTGGATCTACAGCCTCAGTCCTGGATCTACAGCCTCAGTCCTGGATCTACAACCTCAGTCCTGGATCTACAGCCTCAGTCCTGGATCTACAGCCTCAGTCCTGGGTCTACAGCCTCAGTCCTGGATCTACAGCCTCAGTCCTGGATCTACAGCCTCAGTCCTGGATCTACAGCCTCAGTCCTGGATCTACAGCCTCAGTCCTGGATCTACAGCCTCAGTCCTGGATCTACAGCCTCACTCCTGGGTCTACAGCCTCAGTCCTGGATCTACAGCCTCAGTCCTGGAACTACAGCCTCAGTCCTGGATCTACAGCCTCACTCCAGTATCTACAACCTCAGTCCTGGATCTACAGCCTCAGTCCTGGATCTACAGCCTCAGTCCTGGATCTACAGCCTCAGTCCTGGGTCTACAGCCTCAGTTCTGGATCTACAGCCCTCAGTCCTGGATCTACAGCCTCAGTCCTGGATCTACAGCCTCAGTCCTGGGTCTACAGCCTCAGTTCTGGATCTACAGTACAGCCTCAGTCCTGGATCTACAGCCTCAGTCCTGGATCTACAGCCTCAGTCCTGGAACTACAGCCTCAGTCCTGGAACTACAGCCTCAGTCCTGGATTTACAGCCTCAGTCCTGGGTCTAAGCCTGTCTGTCCGAGGGAGCAGATCCCTCTCTGCCTATGGGTCTACCCCTTTTTTCCCACTGGGTGTTTTTGTCATTTCTTGCCAATACAGGAGGGTCTAAGGACAGCGATGATCCGGGACAACACTTTTTTACCGTTTATGGACGTTGGTCATCCGCTCCCTATGAACCCATGGCTGCTATGAATCTGATATTTGTCTGAGTCTCTGACCTGATGTTGGCAAATCGACAACTGTGTGAAGTCCTCCCAGTTGACCGCGGTTGTGACTTAGCTCTACATAGATGCATTGAATTGGATTGAACTTCTCAGCGGCTTCTTTTGACCCAGCAGCAGAGCCACATCACGCCACCTCAAATGACTCTGTCTGTCCATCACCGCGGCAACCTGCCTCCCCCTCTCCTCCCCTCCTCCCCCCTGGCCTTACAGGAAGGAAGGCGAGGAGAGGGAGGATGGGGAAGGAAAGGGGAGGAGCCTGGACCTGATCCGTCAATTGATATTCACCGAGCACAGACTCAGAGCTGACTCACTGTTCCACAGAAAGAGAAGACAAGATCTAGAGCTCTACAAAAAAAAGAAAAAGGAAAGCCGTCCGTGTGATTCGTCTGTTTGGGTCTGTTTGGCCCAAGAGACGTTTCTCCGGAGTCTCCGGTATTTTCACTAATAATGCAGAAGAAGAAAAGGCCAAAACTGTAAAAGAGAAACCACACAGGAGGTACAAAGGTTGTCCGGTGACGCTGAAAGAGAAACTCGCTCAAAGGAGTTCAGACAGAGAAACGCCTTAACTCAACTCAAATACTGTGTTGTCCCAAAGAAGAAAACAGTTTTCACGTGTGGAGCAGTAAAATAAATACTGAGACAATAGGATAAAACAATACAATAGTTACAATAATTACATAAGTCTCACACATATTAGAGGTCACAGCTTCATGAATCTATAATAATAACTGGATAGTGTATTACTAGCTTACAGCTGTCCCACCCACGGGCACAGGGGGCGCTGTGGTACTGCAGACTAAATTCACGCAGACTACACAGAAATTTTCCCCATAGATCTCAATGTGAACTAAAACAGCTCGACCTCAGCTGACAGAGAACCTGAGAGAGAACCTGACAGAGAACCTGACAGAGAACCTGACAGAGAACCTGACAGAGAACCTACAGCTGTCATAAAGATCGGATGTCCCTTGTCATCCTTAAATCCTTCGGTTTTCTTTAAATCCACACTTTACTGCCACAAACTCTGCTCCTTTCCTTCCAGCAGAGAGCTACTCTTTAAAGCGATCCTGGGAAAAAAAATATGTTGGTGTGCACAAGCCTAATATTGGGTGCAGTCAGTATTTATCATTGCATATTTTTTATAGTGCACAAAGTAAGTGCATTTACAATAATAAACAATGGTAATGAATAATACAGAAATATCCTGTATATTATTTAATTTCTTCATTTCTAAATCCTTTGGCGAGCTACCTGGAAGGGGCTGGCGAGCTACTGGTGGATCCCGAGCTACTGGTTGGAGACCCTTGTTCTAGCCTAATCAAATAGAAGCATGTAGAAGTGTCTGTTCAGCAGGTTAACTAGAGCACAATTGATTAGAATGTTAAACAAACATTGAAATGATATGTTTTTTTTTCGCGCTGGGAAGTCCAGCCGTAAAACATGACCTTCACATAAACTTAAGGGTTATACTTTTCTCCCACTGGGTTTTAGAGTTGTTGAGAAGTTAAAGCAGCTGTATTAGTTCAATATAAAGTATTTGTGTGGAGCTAAATCTCAACAGCGGTCGTCTCGGAGGACTCCTCACAGTTATCGATTCGCCAACAACTGGTCAGAGAATCAAACAGATATCAAATACATAACAGCCATGGGTTCATCGGGAGCAGATGACCGATGTCCATAAATGTTTATAAATGTTCAGTGAAGATCCAGGACACTCCACGTTCAACCACATTTATGGACGTTTATTTACATTTAAAGACGCTGGGACCAATGGCTCTATGTGTGTATTTATCAGTGCATTTCCTGTGTTTGATTCTCTGATCTGTGTTGGCGACAGCTTTTAAAAATCCTCGGAGATAACTACTGTTGTGATTTTTCTTATACAAAATGAATTGAGTTGAATTGAGTGAGCCAGATTTGTTCGTGAAAGGAGTCAAGGCATTCTTTAATCACATTATTATCCCAAGATTTCAGACCTGATTTTAAGGTTTTAAGGAGAGACACTGGAGGTGACGGATTAACGTTCTCTCTTTGCTTCTGGGACTGTCGGTGAGACATGGATCTGAGTGAAGAGGTCAGTCCCTGTGCTCCTTAGAGTCACCAGCAGGAGGCCAGTCCCTGTGCTCCTCAGAGTCACCAGCAGGAGGCCAGTCCCTGTGCTCCTTAGAGTTGGTTCATATGGCACATGTCACAGATGTACTTTGGTTTGAGGCCATAATAATAATAATAATAATGTAAACTACTTTTCTGTATTCCCACTGTTATAATATGCTTTTATTTTGAAAAGGGAACAAAAATTGGAAATGATTCTACCTGGTTGTGACCGTGTTCAGGTGCATTGTCGAGGCGGAGCTGTGCAGATGAATGACCTCCAACGATCTGGCTGCATCTTTAATGAGCTCCCATACCCTCGGATACATTAAAGATGCAGCCAGATTTCATTTCATTTCAATTCATTTCATTTTCAACCCCTTCGTCCATTTCTGGGTCAGGGGGGTGGATTGTTGGAGGTAATTTTTTCATCTGCACAGCTCCGTCTCAACAATGCACCTGAACACGGTCACAACCAGGTCGTATCATTTCTGTTTTTTTCCCCTTTTCAAAATAAAAGCATATTTTAGGAATACAGAAAAGTAGTTCACAATAATACTCCTAATGAAAATGCATCAGTTTTATAAGACGCTTCACAGTCATCATTCATTCTCTCCACACACGGTGGTCATAAACATTAGTATTTAAAACCCTTTCATGAGAACAATAAGTCAGTTTTGGTTCAGATGCAAGCCTTATTTCAATACTGACTTTGAAGTGGTCCAGAAAGTCTCCCACACTAAACATAGGCCACTAACATGACATATTTTTCTTGGACTTATATTTATACATAACATGAAACCAAAACACATTAGACTAATAAGAACCGACAACATGAAACCAAAGCAGTTCAAGTCCGACCTTTTGCTCCAGGTGTGAGGCTCCATGGAGACGTCCTGTGTCCAAGAGTCCTGCAGGAGGGAGAGGCTGTGACCGGGCCCTTAAATAAGCCTCCCCCGTCCCCCTGCCCCTCCTCACCCCTCCCCTCCCCTTGTCCCTGGGCCTGCCCCGTCAGAGACCACTTGGTAATGAACCCTGCTCTCCATGATCACTGTTACTCCCTCACTACAGCCATGAAAATCAATCCATATTTATTTGAAACCAGCCTCGACTTACCCAAGTGCTGTAAAAAGACAAGTGAAAAGCATAATACAGATGAATATGTGTTTATATAGAACAAAGGAAAACTTGCTAACTGGAGATGAAAGCTCCTGTTATGGCCCATTCTGTGTGATGTTGTGTAAGATCATTTTTCTTATAGATTGACGAGTGAGTGGTTAGCATTCTCACTTCTCTGCAGAAGATCCTTGGTCTACAGCAGTGGGGGCGGGTCCCGGCTCAAAAGTGGCCAAAATGACGTGCGCTGAAATGCTGCAATACCACCCCGGGCCGATGGGTGTGGAACCGGAAAGGGAATTATTCAATGCAAATATAGCATCTCCTTACCTCTCAAAAACGTCTTTACAGGATGGTCCAAAAGTTGGCTCTTGGCCCAAAGCTCCGTTCCACATGTGTGTCAATGCTGAGGGGGGTGGATTTTTTTGGGCCAGTCTAGTTTAGTCGCTGTGAATTTTATAAGTCACTCATTTAAATGAACGGGGCTCGTGCAGCTGACTCATGCGCAGATGTGTTTTTTTTCCACATTTTACAGCCCCCGCTGCCATTTTGAATCACTTCATGAAAGCCCAATTTTTGGCCCATTAGTTAGAACGGCGGATATAGGCGTGACTACATCCGTTAATACAGTATATACTGTACAGTCTATGGTCTACAGCCTCAGTCTTGGATCTACAGTCTCAGTCCTGGGTCTACAGCCTCAGTCCTGGATCTACAGCCTCTGTCCTGGATCTACAGCCTCAGTCCTGGGTCTACAGCCTCAGTCCTGGGTCTACAGCCTCAGTCCTGGATCTACAGCCTCAGTCCTGGATCTACAGCCTCAGTCCTGGATCTACAGCCTCAGTCCTGGATATACAGCCTCAGTCCTGGGTCTACAGCCTCAGTCCTGCATCTACAGCCTCAGTCCTGGGTCTACAGCCTCAGTCATGGATCTACAGCCTCAGTCCTGGATCTACAGCCTCAGTCCTGGGTCTACAGCCTCAGTCCTGCATCTACAGCCTCAGTCCTGGGTCTACAGCCTCAGTCCTGGGTCTACAGCCTCAGTCCTGCATCTACAGCCTCAGTCCTGGGTCTACAGCCTCAGTCCTGGACCTTCAGCCTGAGTCATGTCGTGCTGGTGAAGGAGGGTCTAAGAACAGTGATAATCTGGGACATTTATTAGTATGTTTCATCTCTCTCCCTATGGATCATTGGCTCCTATGTGTTAGAACATTTCCTGTGTTAGAATAGATTGATTTTCTGATCCGTTGTTGCGGTGAACTCATTATTCCATGTGTCTCAGACGGCAGGCTGCAGCTCCCCGCGGTCTGTATGCGGCTAAAGTCGGCTTGTGTGTAATAACGTATGGAAAACACATTCCTCATCAACAAATCCCTGAGAAAAAAGTTATTAAAATCACATAAAGCACATCACACTGGGACCAGGTCAACAATGGAACCAGCTCCAATTCACACGCACCTGTAGCCCCATTTCCACCAGCTCTTCTCGGCTCGGCTTGACACGGCACGGCTCTGCTCTGCTCTACCTGGTTGTGTTTTCATATAACTGTTTCCTCACAATCTACCCACAAAAAACAAGTCTCCATGGATATACCTGGTTAACCATGGCTTCCAGCAGCTCTCTGACCAATCACTGACAGAACACTTTAGTCCCAGCTCGGCCTGGATAGAACCAGGACCAAGAGGGGCTAAAGAAAGACCTGGTCCCAAGCAAGACCAGTGTAAATGCCAGTAGAGTAGAGTAGAGTAGTGTAGAATAAGGCTGGTGGAAACAGGGCTTTTTGTTTCTTCATCTGTGACATGCAATTTTCATGGGTTTGCAAAAAACATAACCATTGAAAAGTGCGTTAGCTTCTGCCTCCCTCTGGGGCCTGGATTAGCTGCTCTATGCTAATAACAAGGTCTTAAGGAGAATTAATGACATTATTTCCCAGACGCAGAGGTTTAAGAGGATCAGAATCTGAGGATAATCCTGAGCGGGAAAACGACTTGTTGGTTATTGCTTTTTGGGCGTCAAACGACTGTGAACTGCTGCTGCTTCATGTGACATCACAGGGAACATTCCAGATGCATTTGTTTATGATAATACAGAGTTCTACTCTTCTGGGTCCTTGGCCTCTCAGAGATGAGTTTGCATGTTCTCCCCATGTATATACATTGTTTTAGGATGAAGTTGGTGTGTGACATCACCGTCTCCACGACCTGTAGCTCTCGCTTTTTGAAAGTGAACGTCAGAGAAGCTGTGAGCCATGTCTCAGAGTAAGTCAATTATTGGTGTCTTTAATTAGTTTGACATTCAATAAGACACATTTAACAGCTCTATGGATAGCACTACTTTTATCTGAACCTTTATTAAGTTATTCTGTCTGAGGCGGGTTTGTTGTATTAAAGGTTTAAGCGAGTTTAAACGAGGGTATTTTAGACAAATACATTTTAGCCGAATAGAGCCTTCACTAGTTCTCCATTTGAAATGAGCTGCACACGCCACAGAAAAACTGCATTTTGATTCAGAATCAGTGAATATCTTTATGGTCCTTTACGGAGAGATCTACTTCCTGTCCTTCAGAGGACTTTTGCTTTAACCCAGGAATACAGAGGTGCCCTTGATAGTCCATGAAGTACTACACTTATTCATTCTAATTGAGAAACTTCTTGGAGCCCTCATCATTAGGAATTATCAACAGTTGGGGGATTGTCTGTAAAATAAGAAGAGGATTTTTCCAGTAGAAAAATGCAGTAAAAGACAAACGAGACGTGAGATGAACCTTATTTATAGAACACACACACATCATGATAAAACTTATAGAAAACCTCAAACAGTAAGACTTAGTGCTACTAATGTACATTCTTTAGCTTCAGTACACCTCAGAGGACAGGTATAAAAACAAATAAAAACATTGGAAGTTTCTTAAAATAGTCACAGACGTGTCACAGAGCTGTGTCTTGTGAGATGTACCTGAGACAAAACCTGCGTTTCCATCCGTCTAAAAGGAGCAGATCTGGAGCAGGACGTTTAGCGGCAAGTTTATACTGAAGCCAAATCAGATGTGGCTGTGGGAAAGTGATTATTATTTAGCTTAATAATATGAGAAATGTCCTATATGGGGCCAAACACATTTGGACAACCTGGAGCTGGTGCATGTTTCAGATTGATATAGGGTTTGGTGTGATTGATAAGAGTCTGTTCTATCTCTTTTCTCTCCACTCCCCCATCTCCAAACTCTCACTCTTCAAATTCCCACTTCTCTCTTCTCTCTATGTATCAAGATCCTCTAATGGGAGCGTTAATAAACTAAACTTCTCTCCCATTTCTTCCATCTGCTCCCAGCTCCTGCCACAGCTCACTGCTCTTTCATAACTTAGATAAATCACACAATAGACACCTGTTCTGCTCAGATCACCACACCATAATAACATGTGTTATTGAATGGACACATGACTGTTTTTGTTGTCAGTGGCTGAAGCTTTGAGCGACGCTGCCATTTCTTGTCTCAAAACTGGATATCGTACCAATGAGTTTTATTTCTGAGAAAACGTCCAGGATCAGGTTTGATGGATTGTATCAGATTGTCTCTATGTTTCATTTAGCTCCAGCTCCTGCTATGTTAAAAAATACACTTTAAAGGGGATGACAACCATATTGGCCATGTATTTCTGACCATGGCACACTGCACTATTGTATACAATAAGTATTTTTCAAGAAGAATATATTTGAAACAGCAAAAGAACCGTCACAAAGATTATCTGGAAGAGAATAGTTAAACCACTGAGGAGTTTCCTCAAGAATTTCAATTAATATTGACCAATCAGAAAGCTGCAGGGGCGGGTCTAACCAGTACCTGTAATGGACATCCACTTTAAACCTGAGCGGATGGAAACGCAGTCAGAGAAGTGTATCCACACGAGGTCAGAGATGCAAAACTCTTTATATTCGATCTGGAACATGTCACTTTCTCTCAGACGCCATCTTCTGCTCCAACTCGGCCGCCACCACTCTGTACAGATCCATGGTGGCCTTGGCGTCCTCCACCGACGAATGGCCCTTTCTTCCGGTCTGAGTACAACCATCAAACACATTTGGACCAAATAAATATGATTTCCTTCACAAACAGAACATTTTAATTCAGCTAAAGATAAAGATAGGATTTTTTTCTTCAAGTAAAGAGTTGTGCTTTAAATACTTAAATACTGTACCTGGATGTCCCGGTTGAAGATGGCCTTGGTGAGCCTCTTGAGAGAAACCATCTCCCTCTCGCCGAAGCCGGCTTTGGTGTTGAGCAGCGGGATGCGGGACGTGTCTCGGATCAGGGCTTTGGGGTGGCTGTGGTTCAGGGCCTTTAGGTCGTTGTGGATGGCGTGTCCCACCAGCACCTTCCCCATCAGCAGCTTCAGGATCTGACACCAAACACAAGATCCACTGAGTACAACCAGGGCTCGACATCAACAGTTGTCCGCTTGCCCGGGAAAACGAATGATTTGGGACGGACAAGTGCGCTGGCAAGTTTCCCGATAAGGCAAGTTATGTATAACTTTAACCCATTCTACCTCTGGAGCAGGAAGTGGACATGTTTGAATCTTTTTTTTTCGATCAATGGAATGCATCAGGATATACCAGGGATGCAAATTTTCAGCAGGTCATTATTTGGCTTTTTGGGTTGAGAGTGAATTCTTTTCCAGTTAGTGCCACTTTATTGCCAAACTCTTAGAAGAAATATTTGGGCAAGGTACTTTTGACATTGGGCAAGTAAAACATGAATGATAAGTGGCTGAGAGAGCTTAATGTCAAGGCCTGACCACAAACCAAACAGAGGTTTTATTGAAATGCAAGCTGACTAATCTACCAATAAATGGTAACAGCACTTTTCAGCCGGCACACTAAGTAGAAACACAATACTTCTGTACATCAGTCTACAGTCCCCAGCCATCCTTACCTTTGGAGCCAGTTCTGTTTCAATCTAAACATCAGTTTACATTTTGTTTCCAATAAAAGCCGAATATTCCCCAAACCAGCCATAATATAACTTCCAAATTACCCTCATTATGCAAAATGATTATATTCAAAAAACAAAACTAAATACTAAATATAAGTCTTTGAGCGTCTGATGTACAACCGTACATTATATAAGTCACACAACCTAAATATAAACATTTTAGAAGTAAATGCCGTCCACATTTAGGCCACACTGGAACACAAGCCACATGTATGTATTTAACAGTCTCATTCACCTTCATCTATTCTGACAATAAACCAGTGTCCTGTAGCAACTAAAACTTTATGATCTAACAACGGCCCGACTCTCCCACAATGAAAAACACAAATTAGCTGCATCACTGAAGAAGCCGCAGGAGTCAGAGAAATGGAAAAAGTCAAGGCTTAAAGTCCGGAAATTATTGTATCTAAAACAGTTATCATTCCGGGCGTCTCACCTCCTTCCTGGCCAGCTCGTACGGCGTGGCCCTGGTCAGGTCGCTCTTCCTGATGCCGCTCCAGGGTGTGCGGTAGTCTGTGACGGGGAGCGGCGGCAGCACGAACTTGTCGTAGATCACGTCTCCGTCGTACGACACAATGCTGCAGCGCGCCAGCTGACTGATGTGACCTTTGGGGCCCGCACCCACCATCTCACAGTCTATGGCGAGGCACTTCGACGGCACCACGGCGGAGAAGGAGCTACAGGGTCTCTGCCCTCTGCTCTGTGCTGATGATGGACCCGCAACAGCAGCAGGAGCACTAGAGGAGTCCGTCCGAGATTCTCCAGCCTTGCTCGCAGAAGAGGCAGATACCGCGGCGGGCTGACTCTGCGGCGGTGGAATGTTGTTGTTATTAACCCGAGAGTGTTCAGAAGCAGAGCTGCTCGGGGACTGCTCTGGACCAGGACTCGAACGAAAAGTCACAGTGAAAGTTGTGGTTTTAAGCGCTGTAAAAACAGGCTCATGTTGAGACGTCGAGTTGTTTTGCTGATGTGCGTCATTTGGCGTCCTCCTTTTTCGCCTCCACTTTTTTCTCAACCTCCACAACTTTTTGGTTTGAGACGGGTTATTGTCCGACATGGCTGAGGCCTAGCACGTTGTGAAGAAAACAAGACAATGTCAAATGTTATTTTTGCAGTAGCCCTTTATAGAATAATCAACATCCTGGAAGAGAATCGAAACTGAGAAGTTTGGTGCCAGAACACTCACCTCACAAGTATGTTAAGTAGAAACTGTAATTACCTTAGAGTGTGTGTGTGTGTGTGTGTGTGTGCGTGCGTGATATCCAGAAGCAATAAACGAAACTCAAATAATAATGGTAATACATGTCTACTATTGACACTGTATCTGATTGCCACTTTTTATTGTACATAATAATCTGTATTAAACATGTTTGCACATTTCTTTCTTTGTGCACAATCTTGAGTGTTTCTATCCATGCCAGATGTGACATGTACATTTCTCCTTTGTGAGATCAATAAAGTATATATTATCTTATCTAATCTTAATATCATAACAAAGAATGGGTACATATCCAAATATGCATATAGATGAGCTGTATGCTTTATCATTTTAAGTACGCTATAGGATACAGTGTCCCAGTAGTTTACTTTGTGGATTAAGCCAAATAACTACAATGTAATAACATCTTAAGAATCTAAGTCCAATGGAAAGGCATTAAAAACACGTTGTTGCCACACTGATTATTTGTGTGCGGCTACAATTCGGTTTTCTCAGAGGTTTTTAGTAGTTGGGCTAATGTTGGAAGATAAGTTAATTTGACAGTTGTAAACAGTTTTGATCTCCTGCACAGATCTAACCATAGAGGTCCTTTAAAACGTATACAGAAGCTATGACAGCTTAATTACCGCGTATCTGGAAAACTTCAGGTTATTAAGCAGTACTAGCGTTTGTACATCCTTTGTCTTGTTAACATAACCTCCTAAGCCTTAAACACAAACAAGACATTATGCAATTTTAAAAACAAACACTAAATGCATTGCTATGTTGATTCTAGCTTCGGAAACAACAACAATGATTTTTGATGAGTGCTTTTTGGGAAATCTCGATAATCTTCCAGTTCCCTAATGAACAGTACACTACATTAAACAACCATAGCATGCTGTTGAGTGATGTACGTGGAGTAAAATGACTGAATGTATGATTTTATGCCAGTGTAAAGTTAAACAGACCTGCTCCTCTCTGCTTTCGTTTACAGTCTGGTTCCAGGTCACGCCGCGTTCAGGCCCCGTGCAGAAATGTCATAATTCCACGTAATCTTGTTTTGCACGGTTTGAAAAAACAAAACACCACCGTCCAAGTTAGCTGTGCAAAAGCCGTTCATATTCAAACTCATAATTCACATATCAACAACATTTTAGCGAGCGGTGCAGCGGCTGAAAACAAGATTTTAAAATAAACACATTGCACGTGAACGCATCGCTGGTTCACTTGCCTGAGTGTTAGCATGCTAGCACGTCTTGTCATGTTTTTGACGCTATCTACAATATTGTGAACGGATTTCCCATCGATTGGATTGTAATTGAAGTCAACTACAACACCGAGCCATATTTACGGCTAAAACGTGTAAATAAACGGTGTGTTGACGAGTTAAACGAGTTAGCTAGTAGCATTAGCTTGGGTAACTTCAAAACAATAACACGTGCCATTTCAGTCATGCTTCACGCTGCGGGGCTTTCTCCAGAACAACAGAGAAAACTGGCGACAAGTCTGATCTCTTTCCTCTCTCAGTACAGACACCTGACTGACTCCTATATCATCGTAAGTTGCAGCAAAAACAGGAGAAAGTTACAACTGTGTGACTCTCGCTACAAAACTACACACACTGTGCATGGTTTGTGGAATGACGACTGGTCAATGGCTTCACAAATGTGTTTCTTTATTGTACTAAAATGACAGATATCAACACAACATCACGTTTGTTCTGGCCGCGTCGTTGCCGTAAAGCAGGTGTCGTAAACTGTGTACACATTCACGAGGCGACTGGGCTGAGATTGAAATAAATATGTGTAAATAAATGTTCATTTACAAAAGTCATATTTGTACCGGTAGGCTGGAGAGGTTTTTTATTAAAAAGAATAAATTAATACATTATTTATTATCAATATATCTGTTTCATTATTATTATTATCTGTTGCGATATTGCTTTTATTTGTATTATTAGATTATCTGTAGTTTTACTATCTCTATTATTTGTATTATTATTATCTGTTATTGTTATTATTATTATTATTATTATATAGTTACCTCTTGATTTGTAGTGTGCAGTTAAAGTTTGTTACAATATTGATATTATTATAATATCTATTTTACCAGAACACATTTATTTATCTTACTTCTGGCCACCTGCACGTGAAAGTCAGATCCTGTCAGACATCTGAAGCTCAGCAGGGCAAGGCCTAGTTAGTACTGTGATGGGAGACCTCTGGGAACTCCACAGCTGCCCAAGGTGCCACAGTGGGAGAGCTGCGGCTGTAAAGTGCCAAACCGTTGTTGTGCAAGACACAAGTCTGGTGTGTGTATGAATGGTTGGAGGGGCTGATGGCACGCTTCTGTCAGTGTGCCCCAGGACAGCTGTGTGTGGAGTAAATGAATAATGACTTGGGAAGTGTCTTTTAGTGTCTATAAAGCGCTGTATAAATCTGATACATTATTAGTATTATTATAACGTTGATATTTTGCATCTCAGGAATTCTTCACTGAGGACCTGTGGCAGACGTTACCCTCCAGCTGGCAGTCCGCACTCGGAGAGCTGTCCTCTCAGCAGATAGCAGATCTGTTACTGGATCCAACTTGCAAAGACAGGAGGTAAAATCATGTGTGGACCAGAGACTGTACGTTAGGAGTGGACTGACCGACTGTGACATCACCAGTGTTCAAAGCCCACCACTTTAAACACAAGCTGGAGACAAATTCCTTATATGGGTAATAGTGCAGTGCCGTAACAGAGACCGACATGTAGCTAGGATGGTTGCTGAGGAAATTGTCTGATTAGTCAATCAATACATGGCTCATATCTGAATTTACAAAGACAATATCACAATATCACATTATAAACATTAGGATCAAGGAGAGCAATAAAACAAAGTATTTTCTAAGGCCAAAACTGTGAGTGTGACACAAACGGATACTGAGCTCGAGGAGTTTACTTTTACATGTAAGTAAATAGGAGCTAGAGAGAGTTGGAGCAAAACTTCGTTCTTGAGCACTTCCCTATTGGGCTTCATTGAGCTAACTGGCTAGCATAGTCCATCTATATACAGTCTATGTGCCTAATGCTGTATATAAGGATACATTTGTTGTGAAGTTGTTTTGTTTTTTAGCATAAAGAATAGGTTATGTAATGTAATGTCATTTGTCAATTCAATTCAAACTTAAGTTATTTGCAGACAGAGCGCCAGTGGGAATCCATAAAGATCACACACACTACTTTGAGGTATCTGTTAATTCCCCAAAAAATCCCAAATATAGATTTAGTGCCAGGATTTAGAGAGAAAATACTAATGAAATGTAATGATCATACATAACTAGAAACTTGCAATGGCTGAAGCCATTGCGATTGACTGCGGAACAGATCTAATGTGGAAATCTGCTAAAAAAAATCCTTGAAATCCTTTAAAAAGCCTTGAAACTGTTAAAATACTTGATAGATATTTGAAACTCCTGAAGTCCTTGAAATTGTTGAAACCTTTAAACTCCTGAAATCCTTGAAACTGTTGAAACATTGAAACTCCTGAAATCCTTGAAACTTTTTTAAACCTGGAAACTGTTGAAAGTGTGGAAACTCCTGAAATCCTTGAACCTCCTGATATCCTTGAAACTGGTTAAATTCTTAAACAGCTGAAATCCTTGAAACTACTGAATGTATTGAAAGTGTCCTTGAAACTGAAAAATCCCCTCACCGCTGAAACAATTTGGTTCCTGTAACTAAGGAAACCTGGTCTGTGGTCATTATCTGGTGGTGGTCTGAGTCTTCGTTTGGGTCTTGGTCTGGTGGTATAATGCAACCTATTAGGTTGCATTATACATGAAAAAACCCTATTAAGTTGCATTATACTGGTTTACATGAAAAAAACCCTATTAAGTTGCATTATACTGGTTAACATGAAAAAAACCCTATTAAGTTGCATTATACTGGTTTACATGGAAAAATCCCTATTAAGTTGCATAATACTGGTTTACATGGAAAAATCCCCATTAAGTTGCATTATACTGGTTTACATGAAAAAACCCCTATTAAGTTGCATTATACTGGTTTACATGGAAAAAAACCCTATTAAGTTGCATTATACTGGTTTACATGTAAAAAACCCCTATTAAGTTGCATTATACTGGTTTACATGGAAAAATCCCTATTAAGTTGCATTATACTGGTTTACATGAAAAAAACCCTATTAAGTTGCATTATACTGGTTTACATGAAAAAATCCCTATTAAGTTGCATTATTACTGGTTTACATGGAAAAATCCCTATTAAGTTGCATTATACTGGTTTACATGGAAAAATCCCTATTAAGTTGCATTATACTGGTTTACATGGAAAAAAACCCTATTAAGTTGCATTATACTGGTTTACATGAAAAACCCTATTAAGTTGCATTATACTGGTTTACATGGAAAAATCCCTATTAAGTTGCATTATACTGGTTTACATGGAAAAATCCCTATTAAGTTGCATTATACTGGTTTACATGGAAAAATCCCTATTAAGTTGCATTATACTGGTTTACATGGAAAAATCCCTATTAAGTTGCATTATACTGGTTTACATGGAAAAATCCACATTAAGTTGCATTATACTGGTTTACATGAAAAAAACCCTATTAAGTTGCATTATACTGGTTTACATGAAAAAAACCCTATTAAGTTGCATTATACTGGTTTACATGGAAAAATCCCTATTAAGTTGCATTGTACTGGTTTACATGGAAAAACCCCTATTAAGTTCCATTATACTGGTTTACATGTAAAAAAAACCCTATTAAGTTGCATTATACTGGTTTACATGGAAAAATCCCCATTAAGTTGCATTATACTGGTTTACATGAAAAAAAAACCCTATTAAGTTGCATTATACTGGTTTACATGAAAAAAACCCTATTAAGTTGCATTATACTGGTTTACATGGAAAAATCCCTATTAAGTTGCATAATACTGGTTTACATGGAAAAATCTCCATTAAGTTGCATTATACTGGTTTACATGAAAAAAACCCTATTAAGTTGCATTATACTGGTTTACATGGAAAAATCCCTATTAAGTTGCATTGTACTGGTTTACATGGAAAAATCCCTATTAAGTTGCATTATACTGGTTTACATGAAAAAAACCCTATTAAGTTGCATTATACTGGTTTACATGTAAAAACCCCTATTAAGTTGCATTATACTGGTTTACATGGAAAAATCCCTATTAAGTTGCATTATACTGGTTTACATGGAAAAATCCCTATTAAGTTGCATTATACTGGTTTACATGGAAAAATCCCTATTAAGTTGCATTATACTGGTTTACATGGAAAAATCCCTATTAAGTTGCATTATACTGGTTTACATGGAAAAATCCCTATTAAGTTGCATTATACTGGTTTACATGGAAAAATCCCTATTAGGTTGCATTATACTGGTTTACATGTAACAAATCCCTATTAAGTTGCTTTATACTGGTTTACATGTAAAAACCCCTATTAGGTTACATTATAGTGGTTTACATGTAAAAATCCTTATTAAGTTGCATTATACTGGTTTACATGTAAAAACCCCTATTAAGTTCCATTATACTGGTTTACATGTAAAAACCCCTATTAAGTTCCATTATACTGGTTTACATGTAAAAACCCTATTAAGTTGCATTATACTGGTTTACATGAAAAAAACCCTATTAAGTTGCATTATACTGGTTTACATGGAAAAATCCCTATTAAGTTGCATAATACTGGTTTACATGGAAAAATCCCCATTAAGTTGCATTATACTGGTTTACATGGAAAAATCCCTATTAAGTTGCATTATACTGGTTTACATGGAAAAATCCCTATTAAGTTGCATAATACTGGTTTACATGGAAAAATCCCCATTAAGTTGCATTATACTGGTTTACATGGAAAAATCCCCATTAAGTTGCATTATACTGGTTTACATGGAAAAATCCCTATTAAGTTGCATTGTACTGGTTTACATGGAAAAAACCCTATTAAGTTGCATTATACTGGTTTACATGGAAAAAACCCTATTAAGTTGCATTATACTGGTTTACATGTAAAAACCCCTATTAAAGTTGCATTATACTGGTTTACATGGAAAAATCCCCATTAAGTTGCATTATACTGGTTTACATGGAAAAATCCCCATTAAGTTGCATTATACTGGTTTACATGGAAAATCCCTATTAAGTTGCATTGTACTGGTTTACATGGAAAAAACCCTATTAAGTTGCATTATACTGGTTTACATGGAAAAAACCCTATTAAGTTGCATTATACTGGTTTACATGTAAAAACCCCTATTAAGTTGCATTATACTGGTTTACATGGAAAAATCCCCATTAAGTTGCATTATACTGGTTTTTACATGAAAAAAAAAACCCTATTAAGTTGCATTATACTGGTTTACATGAAAAAACCCTATTAAGTTGCATTATACTGGTTTACATGGAAAAATCCCTATTAAGTTGCATTATACTGGTTTACATGGAAAAAATCCCTATTAGGTTGCATGATTACACTGAAGTCCTTGAAACTGCTGAAGTCCTTGAAACTGCTGAAGTCCTTGAAACTGCTGAAGTCCTTGAAACTGTTGAAGTCCTTGAAACTCTTGAAATCTTTGAAACTGCTGAAATCCTTGAAACTGTTGAATCCTTGAAACTGTTGAATCATTGAAACTGTAGAAATGTCTGAAAGAGCTGAAGTCCTATTAAAATGCATGGGCCTATTAAAATGCGATTGCAGAATTCTCAATGCAGATTTTTGTCCGATTGCGGAAAAACCGGAAATCGCTGAAGTCCCAAAAGTAATAGCAATAATCTCCCAAACATGTGGAACGTTTTGATGTATAACTTGTGGAAATTGTTGAAAATGTGAAAGCTGTGAAACGTGTCAAAAAAAATGACGGAATAAAGAAATACAAAACCAATGGTTGGACTGCGGAAGGTTCCGCAGTCAATCAGTCTTGGGTTTTACTGTCTCAGTCCTGGATCTTCAAGCAAGGCCAGGCAAAGTTTATTTGTATAGCACAATTCATAACAAGGCATTTCAAAGTGCTGAACAAAAACAAAGAAAGCATTAAAATCATTAAATAATCACAGTCCATTAAAAAGAAGATACAATATAAAATCCCTCCGTTATGGCACAGCTAAACAGAACTGTTTTTAAACTGTTTTAAACATTGTCAGAGAGGAGGCCTGTCTCACATCTTCAGGAAGACTGTTCAGCTTTTAGCAGCATGAATCTGAAAAGCAGCCTCCCCATGTTTGTTTCCCCCCCGATTCGGCATAACTGGAGTCAGTCCCTGTGCTCCTCAGAGTACGGTGGTTCATATGGTACTAAATGTCACTAATATATTTTTGGTGCGTGGCCATGGAGAGACTTGTACACAAGCAGAGCTTGTTTTAAAGTCTATTCTCTGAGCCACTGGAAGCCAGTGCAGAGACCTGAGGACGGACTAATATGGTCGTACTTCCTGGTTCTAGTGTTTCTTTTTGAATGTACAACCACAGACCTGTGCAGGCCATTGCGGCACACTAGTGTGCCGTATGATGATGTGTCTGGTGTGCCGTGAGAAATTCGTCTACTTTGTCTAAAAATAACTGCATTCG